GGATTTCAGCCTCCCAATCTCCTGTGATCACTATGTCATCCACATACACAATAAGAGCTGCAATTTTACCTTCACCTCTTTTCACAAACAGGGTATGATCTGACTGGCATTGTTTGAATCTCATCTATTGGACTGCTAAATGGAACTTACTAAACCAAGCCCGAGGTGATTGTTTCAACCCATATAGGGATTTTTTTAACCTGCACACCTTTTGTTCACTGCCTTTGGCACAAAACCCTGGGGGTTGGGTCATGCACACTTCCTCTTCTAAGTCACCATTCAAGAAGGCATTCTTGATGTCCAATTGGTGAAGATCCCAGTCAAGATTTGCTGCCAAGGAAAGGAGAATCCGGATAGAGTTCATCTTCGCTACTGGAGCAAAAGTCTTTGCATAGTCCACTCCATATACCTGTGTGAAGCCTCTTGCTACCAGTCTAGCCTTGTACCTTTCACCAGTTCCATCAGCTTTGTGTTTCACTGTGAACACCCACTTGCACCCCACTGGTTTCTTCCCTTCAGGAAGATCTACCAACCCCCAAGTGCCATTTTTGTGTAAGGCATCAATTTCTTCCTGCATTGCATCTGTTCATTCAGGTTTTGACAAAGCTTCTGCCACGGTCTTAGGAACAGGGACACTATCCACAGAAGAGAGAAAGGCACGGTACGAAGGTGAAACATGCTCATAGGACACAAAATTAGAGATAGGWTGATTAGTGGTACAAGATCTAACACCCTTTCTCTTAGCAATAGGAATATTAAGATCATTGGTGACCGGGGAATCAACATTTAAAGGAGCAATGGGAGCAAGTGTACCTGGCTGATGAGACGGATCTGCCTCGGGTGAATCCGATGATGTTGGTTGCATAGTGTCCGGCTCCATGGCTCTTGAACTCTGTTGGCTCTTATGGCGACGATGAAAAACCCGGAACAGAGGAGGATCGGGTAAAGGAGGTAATTGAATCTGAGTCGTCGCTTGTTTCTCCTCAACCCTACTCTCCCCCTGAGGAGAAACCGAGAAGAACGGTTGACTCTCAAAGAATGAGACATCAATGGAAACATAGTACTTGCGGGCAATGGGATCATAGCAACGATACTCCTTTTGAGATGAAGGGTAACCAAGAAAAACACAAGGAATAGTCCGAGGGTCAAGTTTACCACGAGTAGGTGACAGGTTGTGGACAAAACAACGACACCCAAAAACAYRCATCGGAATGGTGGACAGCGGGGCTGTAGGGAACAAGAGCTGATGTGGGGCCTTATACTCTAGTAGCCGAGAGGGCATGCGATTGATGATATATGTCGCACAC